ACCACCTTCTGAGGATATGGTTGGAACCACCTCCTGAGAAGGTGTCTGACACTATAGAATAATTGATACAAAGGTGACCATGCAGCTGGTATTGGACACCGAGTACCAGACTTTTAGAGACCACCCGCCGGACGAATACGAAGAACCTCCCAACCGCTTCTGTTCAGCCGGACGAATACTTGGGCTCCAAGGCTGCCCTCAAAGGGTTGACGTTCGGCCAGCTCGGTGCTTCCAGTGCCAAACGGAAATGAACGGAAAACATATGTGACAGTGTCCATCATGGAACCTCAAAAGGTGACGCATCTCACTTATTTATACCAATTTTGAAGCAATGAACCCAGAACTATGAACATCAATGAACACCCAGAACCCAGAAGCAGGAAGTGTAGCCTATTCCCAAAGAGAACACAGGACCCAAGCATCTATATGACTCGGTGGTTAGGTTGGGGTCGCTCACGACACGGTCGCCCTGGTCGCTCACGACTCGCAGGGTCGATGGTACAAAGATCCACGTCGAGCAGAGCAGATGGAATGGAACCGTTGAGCATACCAAGAGAGGTAGCCAGTGACCTGAACTAGGACCTTACTGGGGTACCCAACTGGGATAGTCTATAAGGTCCTTCAACCTCTGTTGGTAGCGGCGAAGTGCTGCTTCTTTTTTCAATCTCTTAGGTCGCGCAGGACTTTCATTGTGACTTGGCACGCCCAAACATCCTGGATTCATCCAAGAGGAGGTTGAGAGACCTGAACTAGGACCCTGTAGTGATAGATATGGGATGGGCTAAAAAGGGCGCTGTTCAACCTCTCTTGGATGGTTTCAACTGTTCCGCAGCGGAGGAAAAACCATGTCTTGCACAGACTTGTCACTGGCACGTCATTTCCACTGTGGCCGATGATGTTGTCCTCCCCGGCCACCAAGTAGATGCGGTTGTTGTCCCCAAGCACCTGACGTGACGTGGCGCCGTGGCTCCCGGTTCGGCCCAGAAACGTCAGGGTGGAGCTTGTTGGGCTATCTTCAGAATTGGGGGGGGATCGCTTGAAGCTTCGCGATTGGCCATCGAAGGTTGGCTCACGAGCTGGTTGGAAACCAGCCTCAAATTCTTGTTGAACACATAGTATAGGACATGGAGCAAATGCTTCACTTGCAAACCGACACCTCCAAACCTAGCCTAAGCGAGCCGAAAAACACACCTCCGCTAGAGGTTCCCAAAAACACCTCCGGTATGGCATGTTTTTCCTCCGCACCTCCAGAAATTTATGGATTCTTCACCAATGCCATTGAAAACAACGCCCAATCGGACTCTGGATGATGGAGGTTCTTGCTCGAGATGGAGAAGGCCGCTCAGGTTCTGATGCTCACTGTACATGACTCATATGATGCATGATGTGCTTCTGGGAATGAAAGAGGGGTCAATTATGATTATGCTAGCACTGCTAGCACATTTAGTTGTTCAGGGTTGGGAAACTTGCTGGTATCGTGGCACTCGGTATCCCCTCTACTCTACTCATCAACATTCATCAATCAAACAAATGGAAAAAAACCAGCTATGACTCAAGGCCGTTGCATATCACCCCCAGCGTCATCCTGACCTGGCCCTGGCGAATTTGGTTTGTTGACATTTCTAACCCCACTAGCTGAGGAGTACCTGGTACAACGCTGCACGCTCTTCATGATATCCTAGGTTGATAGTATTCAGCTGAGCTGAGCTCCAACTTGTTTAAGTACCCAAAATGGCCCCATGGTTTTGAGTCGAAAAACCCGCTCTCGACTCACCAGTCAGAGAGTCAAAGAGACCGTCCCCTTTCGGACACACATGAGCAGCTCCACGGTCGTGAACGGCTCCAAGTCACCGTGTTATTCACCACGATGTGGGTCATCTCCTTCGTCTTGTCTTCCTTCCTCGTGATATCCGTATCAATCGTGTTGTTTTCCTCCTTGGTCTTGTCCTTCTCGTTCCTGGGATGAGCGCGCCATGATGTTTCGTGCAGCGGTGTGACTTCCCCGCCACCCAGTTTCGTTCGAAAGGGTGCGGCATCTTGCAGTATGTGTTGTTTGGATTGATTTCGGGTAGTTGTCCAGCTCAAATGCCTTTGGAACAACAAAGGAACACCCAATCCAAAGGAAAAATACACATTAAAAAATATCTGACTGGTAGGTAAACATATATATATATATCATGATTACTGTACATTATGAATTTCATATAGTATTATAGCGTATATACATAATATAATAGCAATTCTAGATAGATACAAAAAAAACAATAGTAAATAGTGAGGGATCATTCCCACATATATTCTCCACCAGGCACCAGTGAGAAAAACATCATAGTCCAAAAGGTCAGTACTTGACATACACTTAACAATTGTGCATTCGATTGAAAACAGTTCCTGCTATTCGCGCCAAATGTCGAGCTGTACCTCCTCTGGCGTGGCTGGACGCTTGAGGCGACCGGCTCGCGGGTCGCTTGGTTGGTCCTGAGAATAGTAGAGATACTTCCTGGTTCATACGGTTCATGCATTAGGTGACCACATGTATACAATCCAGTGTTTGGGGTACAAGTACTTTCTGATTTAATCGAACCTCCCTTGGGCCCATTGGGGAGAGAACCGGGAACATGGGGAACATGGTGACACCTGCGCTTGTCTGAAGCCTTCTTCACTACGTCACTATATATTAGTTGCACCAGCCTTCGCAGGGATCCTTCCTTGAGAAAAGGTGCTTGGGGTTTGTTTGGAGGGTCTAGCCTCGAGCTCGCATCCACAAAACCCTCAAGCCTCAAAACCCCTTCGGGCTGGCAGGAGAGGGTTACCTAAACCTCTGCAAAGGTGTTCGGTCAGTACAAGGGCATAATCAGGTTTGACAATATTATTAGCAGATCTAGTGAGGTTGTCTTAGACTTTGTGCGTAGCATGAACACACCCGATAAGTGCATCGAATCTACTCTGCACCCGTCCCCAACAACAGCAGCAGTAGCAACAATCACGACCACGACTGATGACAACTACAAAAACACGAGAATACAAACAATATTAGCAGCAGCAAAAATAGACCAGCAACATCAACCCTTATTACTAAATTCAGTGCATGCCCCCCAAAGGCTCTTTAGAGGGGGATCCCCCCAAAAGCACCTCTGAAAATAGATGTCGGTGCCATCTGAGCCCTTGTCTTTCTTCGTCCACGTCCGGTCCTATGACATCCTATCAACCCCCAGGAGGTCTTAAGGCAAACCCACGCGCTTGCGTGTGCGGTCATGACTCACCCTTTCCAACCGATGCATGACAGTCAAGACAATAAGCGCTACAAGGACAGACTTGCGTGTGTTGCTTCGCATGGTGGAGTTGCGATTCACACAGCTTTATTTTGCACTATACTCACCAGGTCTGCTGGCTTGTCATGGCCAGCTATTTGATGAAGTTGCACCACTCGTGAGTCGGCACGTTTTGGACACCAGGTCACAACCAGGACATGCACGGTGCGGTGTTTCATGGATCTTGGCGACTCGGTGCCCCCAAGTTGAGTGGATGGAACTGCGGCAGCCCAACATCTCTATAGCACAGAGAAGGGCATCCCACTCTATGGAGTTGCTTCGGAAGACGTTCTGTCCTACCGGACCCTCCTCGACCGACCCGAAGCACGACCGACCTCGTTCCATCGCCCCGTCCTGCTCTGCCTCTCCTCGCGCCGCTCCGCCCGTCGCTCCGGATCGGCAGCATCCAGAGCAGCAAGGCCGCGCGGTGCCTGGGAGCGTGGCGTGGGTTTGGGTCACGAAACCCCTCATTGGGCTGAGGAAACAAGGTGTTTGGATGTTTCGGGTTGGAAGACATTGCGGACTGGGTTCTGGATTGGACTATGCATGAGCAAGCCGAAAAAGAACCACTCTCTTGTTCCTATACCGCGCGGGTTTTCTGGCATCCATGACCTTGCCAGCAAACTTGGGCTAGAAAAGGCTATAGCTCCGCTGCCAGTCACCTGCGGCCCCACCAAAATCCCATTCACTTTAATTCTGAAGCAAGGAGCTCTGTTGTTGCTCAACCGACGCTCCTGACCTATTGTATAAGGGAACATATTGCGGTCCAAACCACACAAATAAGCTCCGCGTTGAAGGGCTTCTCCACTGGAGAGAGGCGAAAAAGGTCGTCGGCTTCAGCCGCGCAGCGCTCCGCCTACAGTCGGATGGTGAGCTGCGGAGAGCTAGCAAATCATGGGGAAGTGGGTCGTCTTCATTGGAGTGAAGTTCAAGAATGCATCATATTCACAGGAATGTGAATCCAAAAATAGAAGCAACTGATCCCAGGACCCGACCCCGTGGGGTGCCCTGTTCAGGAAGCCGAACGGCCGGATCCGTGTGGGGAAGTCCAGCCAGGACACCCCGAGGGTCGGAGGGTGTCTCAGACCCTGGCGACCGTGACTGTGGCGTGATCGGGCAAGCTCTGTTCGGTCTCTGCAGGTGGGGCACTGCAGGTGGTGCACTCTTCCATACACATGAAGTGGTGGATGACACATGAAAGACCTTTAAAAACTGCAGCAGTTCTTTCAATTTCAGTATGTAGATAGGTGCACTCCTCACCTACTACGTGGGCAATGAAGCTGATGCTTGCATATACAAATCCCAAGTGAGTAGCCAGTAGCCAGTATGGTCAGAACATGGTCATCTCAGTCGGACCAGGAGGCTTGTTCAAAAATTGGCTTGTTTACAGGCTAATAGGTTTAAGTTTAATTACCTTGCCAACCCTATTCACGCACACGACGAAGCTGTTTCAATAACTGTTTAAAGCTAGTCCCATGCTGGCCATGCGAAATGGACTTCCTGTCCTCATAGGAGCCCAGCTGATCCACCTTGCAAGACCCGGCCAGAAAATGTGTTTTCCTGCTGAATCGTATCTGATTGTATCTAGCCAGGTGACCGCTCCACCAGCAAATGCTCCCCGAACCCGATCATGTTGTGTCTGTCTTCGCAACTCATTCGTGCTTGGTTTCGCCAGCCACCGTCCTTTCACTTCCACCAGCCCTTCCCGCGCCCACGTTCACAGCCCCACCGCGCAGTGTGGCGCGCGGTGCCGCGCCTTCCAACCCAGCTCTTCGCAGCGGTTCAGGAAGAAGGCCTTGGCCTCCAAGACCGTCGCCGGGCACGGCTCTTGATCGCCCGCGGGGTCGGCGGGGTCCACGTCGCAGGCAGCACACAACGAGTCCTGGCCGATATGGAGAGGCGCCACAAAGGCCTCTAGCACCCGATCAATTATATAAGTATGATGAATTCTGTTTTATTGATGGTTCATGCTTAAAGTCCCTCATCGTATATATTGGTGGTATTATTTGGCAATTTTCACAACCTATGGTTTTTAGGTTTTAGTTCATCCCGTTTTGGGAATATAACTTTTTCAGCTGCCGGAAGTGTGTTTTCAAGACTGTTTTGCCAATGGACCCATTCCAAATGTTTTGGCGCAGTCCACCAAAGCTCAATTTTTTGGGCTCCTGCCAAGGTTGAGGTCGTTTAGATGAATCATGGCCAAACCCCAGAGCCCATAAGGAGGGCTCATCACTCCACATGAACCAAACTACACAATGAATGCACTGTGTTCAACAATGGTTGAAAGAGTGTGTACAGAAGGATCTTGTCTCAAACAGCTCTCCACGGAATTGTATGAGACCCATGGGACTCCCAGTTTATCAAGCTTACAAAGAAAGCCAACACATCAAGCAACAACTAGATACATTAGTTATTGACATACTTGATGTACACGTTTTACAATGTTTTTTAAAAATAGACTTTTAAACTTGGATTTTGAATCTGGAAACGTCTAGAAGTCTAGAATTTAGGAAAATCAACATTGTGTTGTCCTGTTAAGCCTGGCCGGCATGTTGTGTCCAATCCCAGACATGAGCCAAAAGAAAGCAATGAACAAAGTATGCTAAACGATTTGGTTACAGTACTTTGCTTGGTTGTCATCATGGTCCCCTGGAAAAGTTATAGTTCCGGAATTTCCCGAACTATAAGTCCCGTCAGCGGTCCTACGCGGTCGCGCGTGGTCCCCCGAAAAGTTATCGTTCCGGAATTTCCGGAACTATAAGTCCCATCAGCAGTCCTACGCGGTCGCGCGCGGAATTTCCAGAACTATAAGTCCCATCAGCGGTCCTACGCGGTCGCGCGCGGTCCCCGGAAAAGTTATAGTTCCGGAAATTCCGGAACTATAAGTCCCGTCAGCGGTCCTACGCGGTCGCGCGTGGTCCCCGGAAAAGTTATAGTTCCGTAAATTCCGGAACTATAAGTCCCGTCAGCGGTCCTACGAGGTCGCGCGTGGTCCCCGGAAAAGTTATAGTTCCGGAAATTCCGGAACTATAAGTCCCGTCAGCTGTCCTACGCGGTCGCGCGCGGTCCCCCGAAAAGTTATGTTCCCTGAAAAAAGTTATAGTTCCGGAAATTCTGGAACTATAAATTGTGTTGCCAAAATTCTCATATTTTGGCGGGTATGTTTATGTTTTTGACTCAAATGTAAACATTTGCACCCGTTAATTGAAAAGTTGACGGGTATATTCATACTTTTTTGGAGCCATAGACCTGGAAAAAATACAAGAACATACCCGTCAAAAAATGAAATTTTGGACACATAACTTATAGTTCCAGAATTTCCGGAACTATAACTGTTTTCAGGAAATATAACTTTTGGAAGCACCTGTGGCAACCGAGCACCTTCTGAACAAGTTTCTTGGGACCGCACGTGACCGCGAAGGACCGTTGACCAGGCTTAGCCCACCACAACCGCAAACGACCGTTGACCAGACTTATAGTTCCCA